GCTACAGAGCAACGCTGGATTTGCTCAATCTTCCAGCCAAGGAACTCCTGGTATACATGATGGTAGTTGAACATACATTTGCCACAACGATCATGATTGTAGTTCCAAAACTGATTGTGGATTGATCAACTCTACTGGTTGAGAAAACCTTCCTGAATGGGTCCGCCCATACTGTCCATAACTTTCCACTAGACTTGGCAGGCACTTTGCAATGATCAAAAAGGGTCTCTTGTGGTGTCAATTCATGTCTCAAGTGCCTCGATTCAGGTTGTGAACATTCAAGGTACAGCTTGACGGTCTCGTGATGCAGCAAAATTGCCTGCCGTATTTATAACTCACGTAACACGATTTAATAAGATATGATGTCCGTTTATGTTCCCCGTGTTGTGTATACTAAAATCATGTACTCTGAAATCACATCGGTATACCAAAACGTCTCAATCTTGATAGCCATATCAGCTGATATTAACATCTAAACCGTAGCATGTAATGTGGTAGACCGGTAGACCCTATTTAATAACCTACCATTTGGGAATGGTTTACACAACCATATACCCATTGATGGTGATTTGATCACATCTAAATTGCCCCAGCCATTGGTCCCAGCCACATATGCAGCATTGAAGGCGGCTGAGAACATGTCGCAGCCTCGAGGACCCTCAGCCAAAATGACCTGAAAATTTGCGCAGTTTTTCCGTTGAGAAATCACAGCCTCTGGTAATGGGATAAGAAAAGGAGGTTTCATGTGGGATATACATGGATATATACTGGGAACCTGCCAACTTGGGAGACCATCCCAGCAGTGCTTACAACCACTTTTGCTGTATTCAAAATGCAACTTTTTCAGCTGAAAAAGCAAAAAAAACACCAAAACGCAGACATGTGAGCAATTGTGAGCATATGAAAATCATTGAAAATCACTAACTCATATTGGTTTAAAGCCTCAGTACAATTCTCTGCGGCGTCTATACTACATGTTTTGCTGGGTCGACTGGGCCCGGGACCCGGTGCAAGTGATAGGTCTTGTCTTGGACCCTCACCTGGCGCGCAAGGTGCACAACTGATACGTATCACCTATACTGGTGTATACATATATATATATATAATTATATTAGATATAATTGCCAATAGAATTGTGTAATAGATTGAATGCCACTGATTTCTGCATTCTATGTGTATCTAGTTGTACTATATAGTTGTACTAATTGTGTGTGTCATACATGTTCACAAGTATTGCCGCAATTCGACATAGCAGTTTGATGTGTAGTTTGGAGGCGGTCAAGTGTCCAGAACATTGGGACATATGTCGATGTTCAGCGAATCATCATAGGATGGAACAGCCATCCACACTGTATAACTGGATATTTTTAATGATATTCCCATTTGCCAAGGGCCTTCCAGTCCGCATATTTGCCCGAAACCCACTCAAAGGCAGCAGGGGCTTGTGGGCCCGTGTACAAATCCTGGCGTGGCAAGGTTGATGGATGATACACAGCTCAACTAGATTGGGTGGCGTATTTACTGATCTGTCACAGCGCGGAAAACAACTAACAAAAGAACTACAGTAACCATGGCATTTCTGCCAGGTTGCAGTCTGTGTCCAACCTTACATAAAAGAACATAGAGGATTTGAAGTCACTGAGCTCGCAACGAACCCTGTGTATACAGGAATACTTGAATATTCCAGCCACTAAACAAAAATATTCTCAAGCTACATTCGATCATATGATACATATATATATATATATAATATGTGTATATATATGTATATATATATTATATATACAGTATGCGATCTATCTCCAGACCCTGGAAGCACCGTTTCTTCGCTAGCCCCAGGGCTTGGAGGTTTCCGTTTTGTCATGGGGCTACCTCCAAATCGCTGCAGCGCACCTTCAAGAATCCCATTGGATTCACGGCTGTTGATTCAGCGGATTCAGCGCTGCCAAAATGGCTACGTTGCGTTTTCGGGCAGCATCAGCCAGTTTTCTGATGTTTCTGGATGAACATATAAATTGATGGTTAAATATGGTTAAATACTGGTTCATATGGCGATGAGGATTAAATTTATGTTTTGCAGATGGCAAACAGATTGATTGATTTCTTAGCTGCATCGCAATCGGGTATTAAGATGAAAGACCTGACATGTTCAACAAACCACCCTGGCGTCCGTTTTAGGTTCATACAGAAATACAACACCAGGAAAATAAGGATTTTCCCAGTGCCTATCACTGGTCGGTAAGTCCTTTTCATCCAGGTGTGCTTCAAGATTGGAGTTCCAACAAGTCCCCCACTTCCTGGTATAGAGATTAGCAACAGCACTCCGTTCCAGTAGCAGAACCTTCTTTGAGGATCCCGTGTTGCTGGGTTTGGTTTGAGATGCGCATCAGTGACTGACACCATTGCAAATTCCTTCTTATATCTGGATGGCAATATCATATGGAGGTCTTCTGAAACGGTGGTACAGTGGTACCCCCATATCATCCATTTTTATGGGATGTTCCACTATAAACCATCCATTTAAGGGGTACCCCATTTCAATTTCAGGAGACCTCCGCATCTAATATATTGTAATATCCAATCTAGTTCACCAACCTAAAAACTTCGGCCCGTTTAATGGGAGAGTTATCCCTTACAACCCATTAGTGCAGAGGAACAACACACGGCGAATTCTGCCAGTTTTTCGGGCCCCTTCCAGGTCTCCCCGAGATCGAGGCACCTTCAACATGAGTTCCCGGCATCTGGCTGCATCTGTGCATTTCCTGGCGTGGGCCAAGTGTTGCTCCAAACACCCCAAAAGTGGCTATAATTTACCTATCAGTTGGAGATAGTTGGAGAAACCTTGGGAATGTGGAGATTTTTATTTGCAGAGATCTCATAAGTCATAAGATTGTTTCGGAGATCTGTATCATGCTGTTGTCATATTTGATATATGTTTTTGATATGTTGTTATGGGGATAATTTCTGTTTCGATCTTGGGATCCCATCGTTGGGCATTTCACCATCACAAAATTGAGAATCTGAACGTGTTTGAACCAGAAAAGACGGGAAGGTGCAACCAGCAAGGCTATGGATTATGTATGATTATGTACGTATATATATATACCGTATATATATATGTATATAATATGTTATCTATATAACCCGCAAAATCATTGCAAAGTGCTGAAAAGGAGCTAATATCCATGATTTGTTTTGCTCAATATCTCCACATAACCAGTCAGGGAGTACTCCAACACTTGGGTTTTTCTATGTTTTTTTCGGGATAAGATGAGCAATGGGATGAGCAATGGGATACAATGGGACACCAGGGAATCAACACCTTCACAGGCACCGGCTCACCATTTTGAGGCTTCACCCACATTCACCAATAAAGATGATCCCAGTTATGGCTGGCCCAAAATAGCGGAAAAAGTACTTTCAGAAAACCCCAAAATAGAATGTATCATCAGCAGTTACAACATGTTACAACTGGTGAACTATAATTCTATGGCTATATATGGCTATTAGTTATCATCAGTTATGGCATTTACCAGTGGAATGTATACTCCCAAAGAAATAACCAATTATAACTAATAGCCATGGCCATCACTGAAAGCTGTGATCGTCCCAAGCTGCGAAGCGCAGATGTTTTTCGTCACTGCGAACAAAACTAACATCTATGAACCATCCAATTTCAATTTTAGGGACCTATGAATTTTGACTTGAATCATCTTGAATCTTCCAATTTTAGGGGGAAAGGGTTTCAGCTAATTTCGACTGAATTTCGACTCAGACCCTAATATTCCCCACGAAATGGCCATTCTCCAAGCCCCAACCTGGGGAGAACTTCCAGGAAGGGCTGCAGGATTTTGCGCCCCACAACTTCCGCCAGCTCTGCCTGACATATCTTGGACATGATCGTTGGTTCCATCCAAAATTGATGGATTTCATAGGATCTTATGGGAATTTTTCCATGTATGATGGGATGTAATAGGATCTAATGGGAGCATCATGGAATATACATCCTATTTGAAGCTGCAGTTGGGGAGATGTGTATACTTTATGGCTGTAACTGTGATACTGTAATAGCCTCCGAAAGTTGGGTTTTGGCGCCCTTTTTTACTATGGTTGTAAAAAACCGCGCATTTTTGTGCAACTGCACCCCCTAGCAGCCATGTTATGGGGAATCAATCTGGCAACAACTTACCAGTATATATGGGGATGTAAACTATTGTAAACTGTTAAACAATTATGAGATGATACTGGGATAATCTAATCCAAAGAAAAATTAAACATGTTAACATGTTCCCTCCAAACCCCACGTTCGCCCACACACGAAGAATACACCCAAACAATATCATATACTTGCCACCAGAGGATGAATGAAAACACTGGCTATACGCAGCGATTCTGACTTTAGGTTTGTAGGATTTGGGGTTTTAATTTAGGGTTTAGGCTTTTAGGGTTTTAGGCTTCTAGGCTTTGGAAAGTTAAAAAAACGCTAGCCCTACGGAGGGATTTGAGCATGTCAAAGGATATGTGGGATCCGATGCGGGCAAACGTGGGGTTTGCAGCGAACATGTTATGCAGATTTAACCCTCAAAACCAACCATGTGTTATTGGGATGTAATGATACATATAATCGAAATGATAAAGGGACAATAATGGGATGACAATGGGATAATTAATGATTACCTTCTTGTCTCTTCCTTAGGCAGTTGCTTTGACATTGTTTGACAATGCTTGACATGTTTTACCTTTGAGAAGACTGGTCTGGGGCAAGGCAATGAACATTCCGATCTGTTCGAATATGTACAAGCTACCAGGTCCTAGTTGGTCATTTGGACTTGTCGAACGGGGGTCAGATTTCCTGTTTGCCCCAGTGAAACCAGCTCCAGTACCCCCTAATCCCAGCACCTTTGTCTCCATCAAACTGCACCACCAAGGTAGCAACGGCCAAGCCAGAAGGTGAGCCTGAACAGTGGTCGGGTGGTCGAGCCAGGCATTGCCGGTTTTTTCGCAGCGCTGGCCCCATTTTCATCGCATCTCTGGAGTGCTTGGAGCTGCACCAAGGCATCAAGGCTCAACACGAGCGATCCACTGCGAACCGCGAAGCCAAAGAACTGGTCCCTCAGAGAGGTTTACTTAAGAGGATGCAAGAATTCCCCCTGAAAAAAAGCACAGTAGGGATTTGTTAAAACCATGTTAAACCCATGTCAACCGACTATAGAGGCATAGATGACATGGAAACACATGGAAACTTAAACATGTTCCATTGCAACATCTAGAAACTATGACCTCGGGCCCTCGGGGGAAAGCGGATGTCAACTCCCAGATCTTCACCAGGATGCTGGTCGGAGATCTTGTGGAGATGGTGGCGGAAGCTGTACCTGGTGTTTCTCAAAATTCTCAAAGCTCTGCACTCTTGGGAAAGTAGTCTTTCAACAACCTTGGTGCCGCTGAAGGTGCTGTTTGAGATAGGATTCTGGCTTTCAGCCAAAACACATAGGTCAGAGATGTTTTTGGACTTGTTGACTTTGCTGACAGAAGCTGATTGGTTTTGGAGAAAATTGCTTCCGGCTTGTCAGAAAATTGTGTATCCCCAAATCCCTGGTTGATCATCGTTGCCCTTACTATTTGATGACCATTGGGGAAGATAGCCATTTTTCCATGCCCATAGAGGTCCACAGGTCAACCCTTCAACGAACCGAGCAATGACTGCCAACTTGAATCCATGCATCTCAGCCAAGGGGCCCCTTTTTGAAGGTGAAAAACTGGTGGTTGGATACTCTGCAGAAACATGGGGTACACCAAGGTACCCTTCAAGTACCCTTCAGACCCATCAATTTATGGCCAAACATGGTCAGACTATCCCAGCATATCCCAGCTTACTGGTAACCCATCAGTGGTCTCCCAGCCACTGTAGGGCTCTGGGGTCTCCTTCCACAGCAGCTTCTCGCAGCATCTCTTCTGCCTCGTGGAATCCTATGGAATCCGTGGGAAAGTCACGAGAAATCTCTGGAAAATGAACCATTGTTTAAGGGAAATACTGTAGACTAAAAACCCCAACTTTTGGAGGTTAGAATCCCATACAGTACTTATACATATATATATATATACAATAATAATATTTTATATATTATGTATAATATATATATATATAGTATTGTATATAATACATATATATATATATATGTAAATATAAAATATATTCGTATATATACCCATACAGTAAATAACCCCTGGCCTGCACCCCCAAAGGAGGCCGGCCATGTTAGCCTTGCAGCTGTGCCCTTAGCTCACCTCCTCACTGGCCATGCCGCGGCTGAGGAGGAACAAACCCAGCTGTCGCTTTGCTTCACGCCAACCCCCTGCTGCTGCCCTGGCGTCGTCTTCAAAACACTGGGAGTTTTCAACTGGGTCAAAATGGGTCAAAGAAGGTCAAAATGATTTGGTCAAAATGATTTGGTCAAAATGATTTGGTCAAAATGATTTGGTCAAAAGCCATTCTTCTTGGAGCTATTGTTGCTATCCCACGAATCGTAAGTGGCTTATAACCCCAGTGATTTACATTGGATAAGTAGGGTTAATCCACTCAAAAAATTGGGGTGAACTAACCCATTTACGAGCAGTGGGTAGTTCGCCACCAAGTAACAGTTGCTAAGCATTACCCATAGGATCCATGTATGCTATATATGGTAATATTTACCATCAATATACCCCCAATCTTAGCATATATATACCATACATGGATCCTATGGGTTAAGCTACAAATCATACGAATTAACGTCGATCGGATCAAGGCCTTCGGTACCACTTCAAGGCGTCGTCAACAGCAGCATCCAATGCAAAGGTCTCGGCGAGACCGAACCTCGGCGAGCCACAACGTGTAAAGTGGCAAGGTCTGTTTCGATAAAGATGTGCTGCCCGCGGTGAAAAAACATGTTTTCTTTTTGGGGGTTTTTATATGTTCTTGTGTGTTATTGTTCAAGGATACAATCTAAAGTTCAAAACCACCGTTTTAGATCATCCAACCTAATTACCAGCTTTCCTGCGGCAAGCAATTGATGGCTCAAGAATCTTGCAGCAGCCTCGATGTTTGAAACGCATAGTTTGTGGAAAACAAGATGTAAAATAGAGATGTATACAGTATACTCGTATACTGTATCCTGATGTATCCTGTATCTCTGAAAATCTGGCCCAATCGACCCTGAGGTGTCTCCAATTGATGGGTTTCCGCAGGGGATCTCCAGGGTGGCCACTGTCGCTGGAGGGACAGTGGCACCCAAAACGGTCCAATGGTATGACTGGCATGACCAACATTGACCAACCCCTCATCTGTTTGACTCTCTCTTTCAAGGTCCATTTACCTTCTTGGTGGCGAACTACCCACTTAGTAAATGGATGTAAATGGGTTATAACCCCAGTTAGAAGTGGATTAACCCTACTAATTATTATCCCATTTACAACTGGGGTTATAACCCACTTACGATTCGTGGGATGAGCCACCAAGTTGGGCTTCGCCAACAAAAATCGGGCCCAGGGCCATGTTCGCCAACCAGACACATGGCGCTGGCTTCACCCTGCAGTGCAGCCTGCCAAAGAAGCTTCAAACCTTGGTTCTTCGGCGTCAGTCGGGGGTGTTTAAGCGTCCAAAAGTCCCGAAACCACGGAGACAAATGGGATCTTTAGTGGTAAGAATGACCAAAAACCATCCAAACATATCCAAAGTCCATGAAAATCTGTGGTTGCGCCATTTCGATGTCAAGGAACCTTTGCTGCGATCCTTTCGGAGGCCATCAGCCGTCAAATATAGGAAACCCAGGCGAGTGGCCTCCGGTCGGAATCTGCTGGATCTTGGTGGTCAAGGCTTGGCTAATCTCATGGGGATCCTTAATGCTCTCTACCTCCTCAATATCAGGAAATATCATCTGAAATATCAGGAACCTTGCGGGAAATGAGAAATGGACCACTATGTCTTGACTATGTCCAAAACTGCATTTCAAACGATGTTTCACCAAACTAATCAGGACACCTGACACAGTAGGCTCAGGATGCAAAACATATGGCGGAGGGTGATTAACTTCCCAGCCACCTAGGGCAAAGTAGGTATCCCATACTTAGACTTGGCAAACACAGCCACGTGGTGTTGGTGAAGTATAGGTTACTACCACTTGGTAGCAGGGTGACATCACCCCCGTGCTCAATCATAGACTAGTGACTAGTCACTTCTGTTGACATAGGATAACTGCAACTGTTGGATCAACTTTGTACTTTCTACTTACAGAACTTCGTGCTGCGACGTGGCGTGACGCAGAGATCTTTCGCTCTTGGAGGTCACGCCACCTCCCTCTTCCATGTTTTACTTCATAGCTAGGATCCAAATCAATTTTGACCCCAGACAAAAAAAACGTGGTTTATCTCAACATATCTCAACTTCAGATCTCCATCAAGTCACAGTTTCAGATCATCCATCCCATCCATCAGGTCACACATCCAAGTCACCGCAATGGGTTCCCCTTGTTTCGCCGCACGCTTGTACCACTGGATGGCTTGGCGTTGCAACGTCGAACGTTTCTGACCCTGGGCCTCGGCGGCCTCGCGCATCCTGAAGCGAGGCTGGCTGGGGCAGGCTGGTGATTTTATAGTGATTTTATAGTGATTGAAACAACAAAATGCATGGTGGTTATAAGATGTTTTTTTCGGGTTTTTTCATGAAGATATCATGGATGGATATAATGATCTAGTGGGTACCCTTCATTCAAGGTGGCTGGAAAATTTCCAACTCAACGGAGGTTCGCTGGGAAGATCGTCTATAAATGGAATATGTTCCATTGCCATGTTTGATGTTGGAAATTGTTGAACATGTTTTACAAAGCCCATAGGATCCATGGTGCTGGAATATTTACCAAAAAATTGACCCCTAAAGTAATTTAAAATAATCCCAATGTAGGTAAATATTCCATACATGGATCCTTAGGGAAGGAGAGTCCAGAGTTGAATGTCAGAGCGCTACAAGTTCATCACCCCAAACTCTACCAGCCAGTCACCTTTTGGGCGAACCACTGGCGGGTTTCCTTCGCAATATGAACCAGGAACTGGTTGATTTGGACACTTCAGAAATCACCCCACATCTTGTTGGTGAGTTCCTACAATATGGGGCCCCCTAGTTATAAGTTGGTGAACATAACACCCATTAACTATAGTTATATCTGCCATAAACCATAGTTATGGGAGTTATGTTCACCAACTTAGCTAACGAACTGGGGCACCACCTTGTATTCCTATGATGTTGCTTACATGTTCGAGGCCCAAAGCCGTGTCATCCACTGATCCTGAGCCGATCATCATCTCCATCATCCCCCAGTGGTGATTTATGGTGGTTTCTACTGAAGGATTTCCGGTATGTGGATGTTGTTTCTGTCATATAGCAACTTCTTGGTATCACCAACTTCATCCCTTTCTGCCAGGAAGATCATGCGGTATCATCCCCATCCCTATCTTCACTATAATTATCCATATATCCCAGTATATATATATATATATCTCCCACTACATATATTGTACATATCATATATATATATTATAAAATACGTAAACATAACCTCTCAATTCCGGCTGGTCATCCCCATCATATCCCATGGCTCCAGCTGGTTGGTCACCCATCTACCACAGACCCATCTCTGTCTCAAAATTAATCAATATATGTGTGTATACATATATGTATATATTATATCATATCATAACATATTGTATTATATTATATTATATTATACCTTCCACTTCTGGTTGGTTCCCGACCCCAACTTCTTCCAGGTGTCAGTTCTATCCCCATCTTCGTCTGCGCCGTGGCATGTCCCCCTTCCGCCGCCTTCAGCCGCTGTTCGCGGCTCAGCCACTCGGGGCAGGCGGCGCACTGCGCTGCCGCCCGGGTGGCGCAGGGGGCAATGCCAACATTGGGGGAGGCAACGCGAAGCTCCAGTAGGGTGCCGGGGATCGCAAGGTCCAACCTTTGAAGGGCCGAGATGATGATGATGATGATGATGATGATGGTGATGATGATGATGATGATGATGATGATGATGATGATCACCATTATTATTATTACTGTATTATTATTATATTATTGGATGCAAATGTTGCTACCATCTTAAATGAAATGATGCTGGTGATGTTTCGATGCTCCCATCTTCTCCGAGAGGGGAACCGCGTCCAGGTGGCCAAAAAGCTTCGGGGATGGTCACATTCCAGCCTCAGAAGCCAGAAATTCTGCAGCATTGTTTGGCAAAGACCATCAAAGACCCAAAGAACCACAAGAAAAGGACAAGAATGGACCATCTTCCTATAATTTCCTATATGTTCTTTGGCACATAAAACCTCAAACCACCATGAATCATATCACCATAAAGCCGACATCGCACATCAAATGGTACCCATGTCCATCCCACCATCCCCATGGTCCCCATGGTCCCAATGGTCCGGAAATGGTCCCAATGGTCTGCGGTGCCTCGGACGCAACAGTCTTCCAAGGTCTGCTGCAGCAATTCCCAAGTGACGCCCAACCAGGCCACACCCTGGGGGTCCAGCACCAATTCCTGTGACGCGGCCGGAAACTGTTGGGAAAGCCAACATGTAGAAAAAAAAAAAGGGCGCTTTTTGGACGTGGAGGATCTGCCAACTGTGGAATTCCACTCCAAGTATAGAACCAGTGGACACCAGTAGTAACTGCAGCTTGCAGACTTATAGTGGAATGAAGTCGACTGTCCAAAACAAACTACCTGGGTAAAATGGACCATCTTGCTCGAACTTTGGAGAACACACGATATCTGGGAATTCCTTGAATTGGTGACACCAAGCAACATCATATTATTATATCTTCTTGCTAGGCGAAGCTGTCTTTGAAAGTCATTTATCTTTAAAAAAGCATGCGGTATCATCCCTAGTGAGCCGTCTTACAGGTGGTTTGAACAAGAACTGATGCTTTCACATCAGAATCGTTCGATCTTTGGATGTGCAGCTTGGTCACTTGGCCATGTCAGCTGAACCTTTGCACTACTTCCTGTTACTCCTGTTGCTTACCATGAACAACGTGTCGAAGATGGAGGCAACCAATGGAGCAAAAGTCTTTCCAAGGTCAAAACATATTCAGTTGTATGCAAAGAGTGCACCTAAGGGGTCCCACTGATTGCCTGTTCAGGCTGGTGTATCCCCAATGTTCTTCCTCATTTGGGGATTTCCTAAAATAGGGGTACCCCAAATCATCCAAGTCACATCAAGTCATGGATGACCACGACTTCGTATTGAAACCCATGGTGACTTGGGGATCCCCAATTGTCTTCCCAATTTTTCACCAAGTTTCGCGGCAAAATCGCCGCAGGAAGTGCGCTTCAGACCGACCCTGGGGCGTTGCCAGCGCCACTTCCGGGCTGCCACGGCTGGCGCCGTCGTGACCGCTGCTGGGCGGCACTTGTGGAGGGTAGCTGAAGATGAAATCGATCCGGCGACCTGGGAGTTGGGGTCATTTCTGGCACACCGAAAACAAAATCTGGGGAGTCAACAATAGTCAACATGATCAACATGTATTTGATGATTTATAGATGAATGATAGGTGGTGAATATTCTTTATAACATCTTTCAGCATCAGCCACTTGCACCTGAAAAATACGGCGAATCTCGGAATCTCGGAATTCATCGAATTCACCTTGTTTCTTCGCCGAGGTCTCCATGTTTCCGGTGCCCACCTTGCAAGGGATCGAAGAAATCGCCCTGCAGAGTTTCGACCATCAGCCCGTTGGCGCGAAAGCTCGCGGCCGCTTCCTCCAGCGCGGCCTGCGAGATGTCCGTGTAGACCTCAGGGAGGGCGGTGGGTTCAAAAATCCCTGAAGCAGAAAATGAAGGTCACAAGCCCCAAACTTTCTGTATGAATAGATAGGGGAGTCACCCATGGACAAAATTGGATCACAAGCTGGCAACAAGCCCACTTGTAGTTTTTTTCTGTACTTTGGCTCCATAATAGCTAGAGGTCACTGATGTTTGAAGGTTGGTACAGAGGGAGAGAAATATCCGCAATGTAATTCCGTAGCTGCGCACAAGCCACACGCTTAACAAAGATGCCACTTCTCAGTCAACAATCCACCCAGAACTAGCACACCAATGATTTTGATTTTGTGATGCTACGCTGCCTCGTATCTGTACCCCACATCTCATCACATCTCTATATGCGAACTTCAAAGAATGAACACGTATGAATCCACAAATGATCAGAACTTATGAATACTTATGAACTCATCATGGACATTCTCAGCACAAGCTGCAACTTGCACCACAGGAATGACTGCTTTCACCTGGGGAAGACGTTTCGACAGTTAGACACTGCACCTGGGCCTTCGGGCCTTGGAGGACCTGATGGAATGATTGATTTCAACAGCTATATTTCTGGAATTTCAGGTGACCATGGAGCCCCTAAATCCTGTTTATATTATATATATATATTATATTATATATATATTTATATATATATATTATATTATATATTATTTATATATATATATATCATATATTATCTATATTGGTTTAGAACCCCTCATGTTCATTCATTTTCCCCACAGAAATTGCCATGTATTGCCATGTTGTGAGTGGCTGCCCGGTATGCCCCATTTTCAGACACAGCCGGTGGCTGAGCAAAACATCCCAAGCATTGGAGTTGATCATCCCAGGTAAGAATATACATATCTTATATCAATGATAATGATATCACATGCACAAACATATATATAATGTATATTTATATACGTATATATATATATATGGTACATGAATGATATGTCTCGCAATCATTATCATTCCACTCCTGCAAAACGTCATGTTGGACTTTGGAATTTCCACCACGTCACCAGCATGGAGAGCCATCCTGAGCCGCCTCCCAGATCCACAAAGTGCGTCGCTGTCGTGGCCGCCTGCAGGTGGTCCATCATGTGCCTTGGCCGATCAATCTGTGGCCATCCGCTGTTGAGCCCGTTTTCTTTGGGATGCCAAGAACATCCAACATATGTAACATATCCAATGTTGTTATCGATTCATATGTGTGCATATTATAATGCATCTATATTATACATAATATATATATATACATATATAAATATATATATACATATATGTATATATACATATACATATGTATATATATATATATATACATATATATATATACATATATATATATACATATATATATTGCAAGTGGAGCAATTGGTAGAAGCCCTGCTGACCCTGATGATTGATGTAGATCGTCTGTATTGAAAAGCCCCTTCCAGAGTGATTCACTGATACTGTTATGTAATCCAGATGGAACCCTCTCTAAAGCTCACACAGCAGGCAGTCTACTTCTTTTGTCGCCAAAACTGAGAAGTCCAGGTGCCGGCGTAGCCGAACACCCTGCCGGCGAAGCAGAACACACTTCGAAACGGATGCAGCTGCAAATGCCAGGTCGGGCGGCCTCGCCCCTCAAGCAAATGGAGGTGAACCCGGTCACCTATGGCTCAAGATGGAACCCTTTCCCTCCTGCCAACAGTGGCTCGCCTAAGCCGAAATCTAAAGGACATTGATTGGTTTCACCTGAGATACACTGGTGCTTGGAGGGAACGTGACATGTGGACTGCAAGATTTGGTGGAATTCACACTCGTTAAAAATTTTCTGTTTTTTCTTTTGGGAAAATTAAAGGTGAAAGTGACTGGTGGCGTCGAAAGGTTATATCTCAAGTATCTGTTGCTTCTTTGGATTGGTTCAACCACTTGATTCTGTCCTTGGATTTTGCTCGTTCTTTCAGCAATGCGTCCTCATCACATAGCCGGTATACCCCCATTTTTAGGGTTTCACGAAGAAAACTTGCTTCCATCGATTTTGTGAGGGCATCTGCAAGTTGGGCTCCACTATGTACCCATCGAACTTGAATACCTTCTTTGATGGCCTCCTTGATTGCTCGAGCTACTAAGGACACCCGGAATTCTGAACAAGAAGGAGGTGCTGTTCGGTTGATTAAATCAAACAATGACTTGCAATCAGTAATGGCTAGATCACATTGTTCCTGACTTGTTGGTGCTGAGATGGCTGGTTCAAGCTTGGACAACGCTTCTTCGGGTTGTCGCCACTGCACATTGGGGTCCATCAGCCATGCCCAGAACAATCTAAGCCATGCTAATTGGTCAAGAGCTGCTGCCATCGCGGTGGTTTCGGCGGACAGGGTGCTAGTCACCACACGCTGGATTTTCCGGCAACCCCATGACAACGGACTAATTGGACATTGATGATTCTTTGAGATATTCTTATGGGTACCCACTATGATTACCCCTGCATGAGAATCCGGTTTCTTATGGGATGAGAATGATGCGTCTGAGAAAGCCATCAGTCGGAAATCTTTTGGTGCAATAGGTTTAATGACAATATTGACATGGTGATGTTTCTTTGCTTCATGGAGTAATTTGTTGGCTTCTTGGAGATTTTCAACTTTGGCACTGTTAATGGAAGATTGCAAAAAGGAAAGTTTACTGGCAATGTCCGGACGGGTGTTGACTGCGGCATACTGGAGGCTACCGATCACTCCCCTTAGGGCAAGTCGTTCTGGTTCAGTAACATTTTGATCAGGTTGTAGTTTCCGGTCACCGGGAATGTTAATGGGCTTGATCTGTTTAATGTAATTGGCTTGTGAAAGGTGAATGCTGTTGTCAGGTTGTTGAGTGATTTCAATGCCTGTGAAGGTGAATGCGGTACTCTTCTTTGATCCAAAGGCATATTTCTGTTCTAGTTTGTCGATCTGTTGTTGGTAATAGGAATTTCCCCCTCCTACCCCGTCATCTACATGGATTCCAAGAACTCCAGCTAAAGACCCATCCTTCTCGCGAAGTACAAACACACAGGGGTCAAACGGACAGGCTTCAAAGTTCAATTTTTGAAGTTCGCTCACAAGTGAACAATACCATAAATAAGGAGCATCGATCAATCCGTATGCACTTTTATTGAGTTTGCCCACTTCGCTTGGCAGCATGTTGAGTGCTCTTCTCATTTCCGGAACTGGATCAATTGCTGTTATTCGGTCAGACTGAGGTTGTCCTTGTAGGAAAGCAGCTTTAATGTCGAAGGATTGGAGTGTCCATCCGAAGGATGAAACCGTTTGGAAAATCATCATTCTTGAGGTCTTATTAAGAGTTGGACTATCCCTGGGAATTTCCTCTATTTTCAGGTCTAAATATCCCAATACCACCAACCTTGCCTTTGCCTTGTGGGTCCGGCTGGATGGATTGTTGGTGGAAGCGGCTTCAGGTTGATCTACATTATCCAAGGGTTTCCAAGTTAAAATCCATCGGCATTTGAGAATTTGCTCTTGGGGAATTTCATGGCGAAACACTTTGGTTAGTGTTCCTGTTTGAATCCAATTTTGAATTTCTTTGTCTTTGGCCTGATCAAATTCCTTGCGCTCTGATGGACTCAGCTCTGACAACCGAATTTCTGACCTTTGTTTCTTGGCACTGGTCGCCAGAAACGTCCATGCTTCTTCATTGGTCGGTTGCCGTTGTTCTAGTGGTCTATCTAGCTTGACATCGACTTCGCAACGCCACGCTAATGGACAGTCGGCTGAGACTACCAGGCTATCGGCAGGGTCTTCACTGATCAGGTACATGGTGTCTGATGTTGCATCGGATTCTGGGAGTTCATTGCTGTTCTCCTGCTCTGACTCGGGTTGTGATATGGATTCATGAGAGACCATTCTATCTGGAACTTCATCAGGTTCTTCTCTTCCAGAGGCTGTTTCCTCATTCAAGTGTTCGGGATTATTTTCATGATGTGGTATTGGAAGTTCATCTTGATTGTTATTTGTGAAATTCCTTGACATGTTATGTATTTGTTGCTCCAAATTGGTCCATTGAATTTCTGTGTCAGGGCCAGGTGTCCCTTCTTCGGAGAGGGCACCTCGGACATGTTCTGGTGCACGACGGTACAATCGACCACATTGGGTGGTCCACACTGTGTGATTGTCATCCTGAAGTACTACCCTTTGTGGTCCTATCCATTGGGGGTTACTATTAGGGTTATGTTGCCATATCATTACCCATTGACCCTTTTGGAAGACCCCTCTCTGTGGGCATGGCCGGCGAAGCATCGCTCGTCACAGGGCATCACAGTTGTCGGCTGCATGATAGGCTCTTCTAGCTCTCTCTCGGACTTGCAACATCTCTCGGAACATGTTTGGGGTGATGGTGTCATCTTCTTGAGTTACTTGGGAGTGGGACGGCAATGATTCATCTGACATCACTGACCCTGGGACTCTAGAGTGTCGACCAAACACAATTACCTCGGGAGCATAACCATGGTGTACACTGAGACAATTCTTTGCATGAGTACACTGGCTCCAACTCTTCATATGACGTGATGTGGCTTTCAGTGTCCATCCGAGTGAGCATCGCCTGGAGAAATTGCCCATGCCTTTCTATTTTGCCATTTTGCCAGTGAGCTCCAGGACAGGTTGTCTCTCCTTTGATGTTGAATCGTTGCAGGAAAGCGGCAAACTGTTCGCTGTTCAACTCGGTTCCCGAATCCACCATGATTTCATTGGGAGGTCTTGCCCAGCTAATCCAATGGCGCGTGAGAAGTTGGATCACATGTTCTGTTTCTCTGGAGGGTGATGTGATTGCAACATGAAAATTTGAACCGGCATCTATGATATGGTAAAAGTGAAAGGATTGGCCCTGAGAGTTTGTCCACTTTACCCCATCTACATAGATACGTGAGTTGAATTCCCGTATTGGTTTCAAAATAGCTGGTCTCTGGTGTTTTGGTGGACTACATGCTGAACATGTTGAACATTCGAGCTCTTGCGACGCATGAACAATTTCAGGTCGATACCCGGCTACTTGCAGTGCTCGTGACAGTCGGTCATTGGAAGGGTGACCAAGGTTCTTGTGCATCTGGATAATCATGCGTTGTTCCCACCTTGGAAGAGCTCTGAAATTGGGACCTGTCTGTCGGATAGGTCTTTCCCCTGGCATTACTGCATGTGTCCTATTATCCGCATGAGAAGTACTCGTGGGATTACTGTTGTTATCTTGGATTCCCTCAGGATTATTTTCTGGTACTTCAGCTTCTTGGGAAATGGGAACATTATCACTGGTGAGCGGCGTTGCTGTCACGGGATCTACATGACCTGATTCCGTCTGACTCGGTGCTGGCTGCTCACTTGCTGGCTCAGGCATTGGAGGCATAGGATTCACACCTTGGGAACTTTGGCTCGAGTCATTTTCAACAGGCCAGGGCTTTGCGAACATCGTGACATTGATTCGACAGGCATGTGCTGGTCGAATCAACTGGCGGTTGGCAAGGTGAACCCATTTTTCCCAGTCCTTTTCATACTTGATTGTTCCTGTTCCCCTTTCAAGGATCAAACTTTTCCGGAGAGGTGCTTCCTCTGGATGCATCCCCTTTGGTGGACCTAGGGTGCGGTCGGTTCCTCGACAGGCAATCACATGAATGATCTTTTGGTCATGAAACATTTGCTGAAGTTTCTCCAAGATATTAGGTTCTTGTATAACACTCTTACCAACCCTGGGAATGATCTGATTGATTTCGGTCATGAGGTTCTGATAATCTTCAAGGTGGTGGTCCTCGCTTTGTTTTCCCAACGTCGACGTTTGACATGGTCATCCCTGGAGGATGGTGTGATCAATTCGGATCTGACAAACTTGGTTTTCTGTCGGAACTTGGTAAGAACATGGATTTCGGCATCAGTCTCTTGACACATGTGGGAAAAGGCTACTTGCCAATTGAACGGCCTGTCACGGTGGTTGTGCATCATGGCTCTGGCTACCTCTCTTGCAAACTTTCGGGGATACACTTCGGTGTATCGACTGCGCAAAACTGTTCCTTGAGGTGTTGTGAAAGACCCTGCTATTGATTGGTGAGAATGGTTACCCCGACAAACTCTCCCATGTAGTAATAGGTATATTGTCTTTGAAGTAGTAACTACATTCATCCCCTTGTTCATTGGCATTCCATTTGATGGATCCTTGAGGTCTCCAGCATTGCACATGTCAAATTGGCATGTCTGCGTATACTGATACACTTCGGCCATTCCTGGAAATTGCAGCATGAGGGATCTGGCCGGTTGTTCCCAGTGGAAGTGCATTCCTTGAGACACCTGGTGACGAAACAGCACAATTCCGAGGGCAAGTTGATACATCAGGTTATGTCTTCATCACTGCAAAACACTTCAGCCAGGGTTATGCGGGTACCCATTGGTGACATGGTGGCAACTTGAACATCTAATTCTTCTTGAAATTGCTGAACCAATCTGTGAAACTTTTTCATGTCAGCATTCATGGTCAGATACACCTGATCTTCATCTTGACACATCAATTCTCCTGGATGGAGTCGTTCGCCTGATCCTCCAAGTGTCGGATCACTCGGCTCAGGGCATTCTCCATATTGAGCATGCGCGTCTGCAGAGCTTGAAACTCCTCCGCATGCTGCTGGTTCAGATCCGTCAGGGGCATAGTCTCCGGGTTGGACATCTCGATATGTGACATGTTTTCCCATGTGGCATCGCTCTCGACGAGTTGGAGGTCTGAGATCTCGGCCTCGTCCACCTCGATTGGAGTGCGAGGCGCTGCCTTGCACTTGGGCTGACGGCGGCTGGTCATTGGGGCTGCCGTGCTCCTGGCCTTGGGAACTCTCACTGGGAGCTGATTCTCCTCGTGGTATTTCAGTTTCAATTCCACGAACTTCATGAGACGTTGATGTTCTGGCTTGACACTGGTTTCGTATCGATTCACCATGAACCGGATCCATTCGGGGTCGGTTCGCCAGACATGTTCCATGGTGGCTCCTTGATGTTTCTCCCCAAACTTGATCTTCTCGGCTGAGAGCTCCTCCAGTGTGAGGTGTGACAGGTCCTCCCCTTTCACGGTCACTTCCTGGTACAGCTTGCTCAAACGCTGGCTCATCGACATGACTGCAAGACTCGGTGCGTTCACAGGATCTGTTTCCTGGTGATGGGTCGTTCTGAGCCAAGTTCCCTGACAGTTCACCTGATTTTCCCTTTGCTTCCCATGTTTGAATCAACTGGCTAACTTTCCGTGACCCTTTGATTTTCTTGATTTCATCAACTGACCCTTCATGTTGTGGTGTTGATTTTTCATGACAAACACTTGAATTGGCTGACATCGGCGGCTGCTTGTTTACACCGTCCTCGGATGCAAAAGTCTCATGACAAGTGCCGGTCTTCGCAGACACTTTGGAGGACTTTGGATTGGTACTGTCGGCCGCTTGAATCATGTCATTCAAATCAACGAGAAAGAGTCCTTTGTTGGTCAACTGAAGTGGCACTGGATTCTTGAACCATGGGCTTGACAGTCTCTGGTTGTGGCAATCGATGTTGGCCTGAAGCGCTCGCATCATGGTGTTACTGATTAAGAACGGTGTGCTACCGGGGACAATTGCAACTTTGAGGTGAAAATCCCCTACAGGTACTACCAATGCCTGGGAACTGGTCAATGTTCCTTGGTTTCCAAACCTGAAAGTGATTTCACATGAACACCGATACAACTTCTGGCGAGTGCTTGGCTGCAGACCGTGAATTAAATCAGACACATGTTCACTGCCTATGACCGTCTTGGTTGCCCCCAGATCCAGCACTCCGAGGGAGCTATGTGTGGCAAAAAGCACGGCTGCAGACAGATTGATTGTATCTGAAATACCTGGTTTTTCTGTGCTGGAACTGACAGTGGTGCCGGACAGACGGTTCAGGTCTCGGCTGGCTTCTACGGATCCTAACTCTGTTCTCTCACTCTTGGGCCGGATGCATGGCGACTCACTCCTGGTGATTCGGGCCAGGAGTCTCTCACGGGCACTAAGGCTTAGGTTCCCCCCATAGCTAGTAGTCCTACCCGAATCATTATGATTCCCCTGAGTACTACGATGGCTATGTTTCCCAAGTCCTACAACAAAAAAAACATCAGTCATCCGACCCTTTGTCATGGCACTGGCGTCCTCATCAATGGCGGACTCATTCACTTCGGGCAGCTGCATGAACTCCATGGGCAAACTCTGACTGGCAGCAACGGCATTCCCCTCCGTCACCACGGTGGTGGTGGGTGCAGTGCTGGCGGCTGATGAACCAACTGATCGATTTGATCCAGTTCTGTACGGGCATTCAGCTTTCCAGTGACCACGTCTGCCGCAGGCACGGCAATTCGAGGACATGATTCTGTCCTGCAGGCTGCGTCTTGGCTGAACTCGCTTTCCCTTGCTACTACCCTTCTGGTTGAAGGATGATCCCTTACCCTTGGTGGCATTGTTGGAACCTCGACTGGATGGCCAGAAACCTCTGTTGCGGAATTTCTCACTCAGGCGGGCACGTGCTTCTTGGTAAGCACTGTAGGCGGTGGCAAGATTGGCATCATCTTGCAACATTTCCACTGCAGTTTCTTCAAAATCGGCAATGAGGCAGGCATCATCATCACCTTGTTCTCGAAGAGAGTCAATGAAATTGTCCTCTGTCCATTCATCCTGAGTTACATAAGAGGCTTCAGCGGTTTCATCATCATCTTCATCACAGGCAAGCAAAGTGTTTTGGTCATACACCTTGCCTTTCGGCCCTTTCTTCACTCCAGTCATTTCTTGAAAGAAACTTGCACCTAAAAGGCGAATGGCTTCTGTCACACGCTGCATCGAAAGGTTACCTGAGTTTTCACGATCGCTGTCAAGGATCACCTTCTTCTTCTCCTCGGGACTGAGACCTGATCCACGTAGAATGATGTATGCTTGCAGCTGTTCCATGGTCAGCTTGCGACTCAACAACTTGCTCCATAGAACATCTGTCCTGGCTAAGAAGCTATCATTGGTTTCATCGGCTTTCTGTACTGACTCAAACAACGCTTTCTCAGCATCATCATATTGTTTCTGTAATGGAATACGGCCCCATTGTCCACTCAGCAATTCAATCAGTCGATGGACTGACTTTTCCTCGCCAGTCAACAATTCGGATTGGTGCAGCTGTAGCTTTTGGAAAGCACTACCCTCACATCCAAGGATTAACCTTGTCACCAGCTCTGTCAATTTGGCCTTTGGCCATGCAGCAAGAACCAGTTCAACTTTCTGTTGGTATACGGTCATGTCATCGGATGCAGGATTGAACGTCGGTACCAAGGATGCCAGCTGATTGCTAACACCTACATTGGGCTCAGTGGCTGACGCAGTTGATTGCGCCATTTCCCCGGATGCCGCCCCTTCTGTAAACGGAGTGGGGCGGCTCCGCTACCAATGCAAGTGGAGCAATTGGTAGAAGCCCTGCTGACCCTGATGATTGATGTAGATCGTCTGTATTGAAAAGCCCCTTCCAGAGTGATTCACTGATACTGTTATGTAATCCAGATGGAACCCTCTCTAAAGCTCACACAGCAGGCAGTCTACTTCTTTTGTCGCCAAAACTGAGAAGTCCAGGTGCCGGCGTAGCCGAACACCCTGCCGGCGAAGCAGAACACACTTCGAAACGGATGCAGCTGCAAATGCCAGGTCGGGCGGCCTCGCCCCTCAAGCAAATGGAGGTGAACCCGGTCACCTATGGCTCAAGATGGAACCCTTTCCCTCCCGCCAACAGTGGCTCGCCTAAGCCGAAATCTAAAGGACATTGATTGGTTTCACCTGAGATACACTGGTGCTTGGAGGGAACGTGACATGTGGACTGCAAGATTTGGTGGAATTCACAATATAT